TGGACAATGTATGTGCTTCACACCCAACACACCTTTGTCAACTGCTATGCTCTTCACAAGGGACTTTTCAAGGTGGCCTCATGAGTTGCACTGGTGACAAGGGACTGTTCTTCATGTAATGCTCAACAGCCAGCCACATACCGGGAGAGGGAAGAAAGTAACTGGGATAATTTGGAAGGGAACTGGATGAGCTCCCCTCACTCTAAGGAACAGGGAGCGGCTGAATTCCTTTCAGCTTGGCTTGGTATTGTATTGAGAACGTACCTTTCTCCCCCCTTCGGGTTGCCTCCATAAGCACTTCTATGCTTGCTTGGTTCCTGTTGAGACTAAAGCTATCAGACACTTAACCAAACAACAGACACTATTTTCCTTGGGTGTTAAGACCAGATTTCTGGTTTTTGGAAACTGTGGTTTTTAATCCCATAAGCTTCTTTGGGTAAGGGCGGAAACAGGCAACAAACAGCACTTAAGTGCAGTCACTTTTTTCCTGATGCCTGGCTTTCTTTCGCAGCTAATACCATTGTTTTGAGATAAATACAGCACCATTATCCAACTGAAATATCAGCCAACACCCTTGTTCCTTGTAGGGTGATACACCATGATCATCTTTGTATGGTCAGACAGCCTACTGCTCCTGCAAGTTATTCATCAGAACTAATACGGGCAAGGAGAGACATGCTGATGCCGCTGTGCACACTGGCGGTGCTTGTCTGTCTAACAAGTGATGTAATTCACTGCATTTCTTGTATTTCTTCTCTTCCCATCCACCAGCCTGCCTTATTATAATTATAACAACATATACAGCTAGATGTGCTTTTCTTGCTCATTTCATACTTTGAGCTTTGCGTGCCTTTCTGCCCATAGTCTCCCTGCTGTTGGCATTGATTCTCAATTACATCCACATGTTGGATGGACACTGTTAGCTGAATAAAAACTGTAGCAACTCTAGGGTGACCCAGAAAAAAAATGAAACAACAAACTAGAATTTGCTAAGCATTCACCTGGTTTATGGCCAAATTTTGCAGAAAGTAAAAAATCATTTTAGTCATTTAGTCCTTCCTAAAATTACAAGACAACTCTCTAGTCTTGTGTGACTGACAGATTAGATTCCCTTTTACAGTTTCACTTCTTGTGTACTCTATTAAATAGAACTTCCCTGGATATTATGAGTGTACTACGCCTAAGACATTTGCAATAAACTTTGAAAGCTATTTTTTAATAGTTTTAATGAAGGAAGGTCTAAAAAACTTTTTAGACACAAGGCCACTTTTTGTCTTGTCTAGTTTTCAGTAATACGGATTGCTTGTAGATGCCAGTAACATCTTTTCTACAACATTTTAAATCTTTGGAGGTGTTTTACTGTTTCATTCATTCATTTCAGGATGGCTCCTATTAACTTTTAGTAACAGCTGATGATCAGCACATATTTCAAAAAATCAGAACCACAGCAACATTCATTCAGTGACCCGTTACCACTTCTTCCATGTATCACTCTTCTTAGACTCATATATAGTATATTACCTTCATCAATTCTATTTTCAAAGACAAGCCTTTAAAATACAAACATTCAATACAATGGTTTTCTTTGTTAAGAAACACACTTTGGATAGCAGCTACATTCTAGTGTGCTGAAAGCACCAACTCCCAGAGCAAACATTACTGGTATTTTATTCCCCTGGTGCCCCTGCATATTTGTATAAATATTTGCTGGTTGCCTTTTCTGAGACTGTAGGAACTTTGGAACAGGAACTACATCATGGCAGTTTGTCTCATGAAAGCACAACTAGGTGCTACAATAGTACTAATATTTTCGAGTAATTGCAGTCATAGGATTTGCCTATGCACACAAGTAGTTTTGGTTTTGGTTTGGTTTATTTTCCTGGTGTGCACTTCTATTACAAACAAAATAAAATAAAAAAAAAAAAGCAAGGTTGGAGAAAACAAAGAACAGACTAAAAGATGAAAAAAGTTTCACCATCCTGGACTAGGACTAAAAACCAAACACAAGTCACACAAGTCAAAATCAGTCATAGCAATAATATCAAAATTAGGAACACTGTTTTCATAACAAAATTTAAAATTACTTTTTTCAAATATTACTTAATAATGTACATCTAAATCAGCTTTAATTGAAAAAAGCGTCTAAAAATTTTTGAAGTGCACTATGTATTTTTCTAGAAACTTTCAAAATTGTGCTTTCCAATTAGTGATTTCTGTTTTGACTAATTGGGTTTTTCCAACAAAAATATTTGGCTAAAAATTCCTACACCAGCTCAAGTAAAAACAAATATTTTTCAAAATATTCTTTTGTCTTCCTTACAGCATCCTTTATGTGGAAGCAGGCACTCTTAAAAATTAACAGAAGGTGTATGTGCAGGAGGTGGGAAGTTTGGAAAGAG